TTTTGCCAAAAATTTAGAATTTTTTTTTTAATCGTAATTTTGTAATGCATAAAATGGTAAATTTTATTCTACTTTTTTTTCGAGTTGAATTTCCGTGAAAAACAATAGGCTCTCCCCCAGAGCAATTGACATGCAAATGACGATGACGATGGTCCAGTCACATGTGCGTATCACACATGTTGCATTAACCGAGAAAAAAGGTGATGTCGAGAGGTGTCATTAAATTCATGAACAATTTGAATAATTCCGAAGCATCTGCCCTCGTCGAACCTCACCATGTCATACGCCTTTCCGACCAGATAAATCTGAGATAATTCTTCTCCCGCGAGAAGAATGCGTCTTGCGTCTTTTCATCACAATCTCATGCCTTCCAGATATATATGAATATATAAAATATATATGAGATATATTTGAAATATATTTGAAACTCTTATTTATATATTTTTTGAAATAAATATGAATATTTTGAGGTAGGAAAATCCTCGATATTTTTCCTCCATAATCTAGCACCTCAATTTTATATCCATTTCAATTCTCGAATTTCCTCGCGATCTTCACCGCAAACGAGACTGATACATGATACGATCGAGTTTTATGAAAAAAATCTATAAAGACCTCTCAAGGTCATACGTATAACAAAACGTTATTACCCTAATAAAATTAAATCTGTCGTCGCGTGTTACGACGTTTTATCTTTCTGTCGATTTTCAATCTCGATTTCATTCATTCATCCTGGGCGTGAGGGGTTCCAAGAAAAAAAAACTAGTTTGGAAAAAGACCTGGTGGTCCCCTTTTTGAGGGAAAGAATTTTTAAAAGGGCCCCTTTTTCTTTCTTAACCTGTATAATATATTTGAGTGGAATTTCCCTTGTACTTCTTGGAACCATTCTCTGGAATTCATGTTCCGTGCAGGTTCTACAATTGGAATTAAGGAATTTTTTGATAAATGCTACCATAAATTTTTTATTGATTGGAAATTCCCTTTTTTATATTTGAAAATGAGGGAGTTCTTTGATTTATTATGAAAATGGAAAATTAATGGCTCTGCCTTCCAATTTTGACCTTGAATTACGGAACACGTGAAAATTCCGTGGAAAACATAAATTCCAATGGAATTCCGGGAAAATATCCCAGAATTTTCAGTTCCTCAAAATAGTAGGAGAAATTCCCAGTGAATTTTTACATCCTCTTCGAAAATTCATAGAAATGACTAAATTTCTCATTTTCCTCCCGGAAAATCCGAACCACTCCAAGAAAATTCGTAAAAATTCCTGAAATCAAAAATCCTCAAACTCCCATATTCATCCATAAATTCCATAAGTCCCAAAATATTATTTACCTTTGAAAAAAAAAATCGGCTCCCTAGAATTTCACTCGAGCATCAACCCCCGGAAATTTTCCCGCCCCAAATCCGTTTCACCCCAATTTCCCGTAAAATCCAGAATTCCCCGGAATTCCCGGCGCCTTCAACCACAAATTCCGGCCAAAGTTCCATAAATTCCGACAAATATTTTTCCTGATAGCATTTCCCATCGATTGCAACTCGGAAAATTTCCATTTTTTCCGAATGCAGTTGCATTCCAGGAGTGAAAGTCCCAGAATTAGCCTTCACAGATCGCCTACGACCGCACGTAATTTCCACCGGAGTTAGCTTTTAAAAAAAAAAAAGGATGAAAAACGAAAGAGGATAAAAAAAAAATGAGCAATGTGTGCAAACGTGTCTCGGGTTTATTATTAGAGTCAATACCTGTCGTTTAGTGTGTGAGTAAAGCGGAGGCTCGACGCTGGATTGAGCCAATGAAAATGCCGGTAGGATCGGCGCACCTTCTGGCTGGCCAATGGCAAGCCATCGCCCATCTGTGGATTTTTATTCAAACCAGTTTTTACTTACACATCCAGCAAATAGTGAAAGAGGAGGGGTAAAAAAAAAATTTCCACACCGGGTGGAGTGGCCGTTGAAGCGGTTAAAGTCTGGAGTTGGAGTCAGTCAGCACACGTGCCCTTTTTCCACAAACACGAGACTTGAATATCCGTCAGAGACTCAAAATGTTCAGCAAGATCAAGGTTCGTTTAAATAAATTCAAGTAATTCTGGTCGGGTAGCGTTGAACTCTTCTGGGAATTTAATTTTAGGATATTTACGAGGTTTTTGCCAAGTCACATGGATTTGAGGTACGTCACCAGACGCTCAATATTTCCGGGGTATTTATAGGTGTAGGGGTAATGTGGGAATCAAGTCCCAAGTCCTCGATCTCGCGGGATCCAAGGATCTGAGGATCTACGGATCCAAGGTTTCATCATTATTTTTGTTATTTTGTTACTGTTTCTTTTTTTCTTTTTGTAAATAGCCGGTAATCTCGAAACTGAAGATTTTTACGGGAAAATGTGAAAAAATGATTTTGGTAGATAATTTTATCAGTGTGATAAGACTTCTTTACGGTTTTTTCTCTAAATCGATAGGCGTCGGGAATAAATTAGACATCTGTACAAGCGTCGAATTGTAGGAGACAGATAAGTCGAAATTTATTGTTTTTAGGAATTAATTAACCGGAAATTATTGATTTTAGAGGGAAATGTCATGCTTTACGATTTTTGGAAAAGTTCGAGAAAAACGCAGGAAAATTATTGTACAGTCTTGATATTTCAGGGGTTGAAGAATTCGTCTTAAATCCACTAAAACCTTTCCCTCTGGATAATCTCCTAATCTAGATTAGACCCAAAATGGTATTTTATGTCGAGTATTTATAGAATTCTGAGAGTGAAATGGTCAAAAAAAGAAATGGAAAATACGGAGAGCCCATCGAGGATTTTATCGCGCCTTTACCTCTCTAAAAAAAAAAGAAAAATCTCTAATTTGAATAAATACCCCAAAAATGAAGGCCCAAAACTCCAGAAATTTTATCTAACAAAAAAAATTATTGGGGACCATTCAAGATAGATTTACGAGAAAGTCCTTTTTTTCTAGAAAAAAAAACTGGAAAATCGAGAGGAGAAAAGGTCTCCAGGATTTTCTCCCCCGCCTCAACGAAAACGAGATAATTGTCCACTCGACCGAGGTTACCATTAATTCTCCCGTAATTACCCCCGTAAAATTACACAACACATTTTCCGCCTATCATCTCTTCGATAAGCAACCTGCCGATAACATTGTGATATTTATTCCGAGGAATATTGAATTTTTATCAGCGAAGGCGACACCAGCGATAAAATAGTCGGAGGCTCGACACTAGAATCGACGAATCGCGCTTCGATAATCTCAAATTTAATTTTGCATATCGCTTCAGGTGGACCTGAATTTATCACACGTACCTGAACGTAGAAACGATCGCGTAGTTGGACCGGTTATTGCATCAGCCAGTGCCACCGGTTTTTTTATTTTCGCGGACTCCGGTCGAAATAAATTACTGACATGATTACCCGAGACATTAGACTTTGTAATCAATCGACAAGTGTCTCCTGACCATTACAATAACTCCTGGAGATTGAATGCTTCATTTTCCCGAGAGAAATTTGGAATGCGAGTCAAATTCCCATTTTTTCATTTGTAAAAAAAAATTAATTATTGACTGGAAATAAATTTATTGTTGATTACCTTTGAGTGAATGTCCGAAAAGTTCAGTAATTTCTCAAAAAATATCGAAAATCCGTTTTTCTTAATTTATTTCCAATTAAATCCGAAGTGAGTGGACAAAAAATATTGATTGACCCAGAGAATTATTTTTTTTAGAAGAAAATTGATGAATAAATTATTACTGTAGAAGAATTAACAAATTTCGATCACCGCCGTTGATTTTCCTGATTATGCAAGAAAATAATAATGGCAATAACAATTTTTATCGCGTTGATGGTGGTATAATTGTATTTAATTGTCGGATAATGGACTATATCTCCTAATGGACCTTGTCCTCTTCTTCGACAATCAGATTTTAAGATTATCGTATCTCCTGAGATACTTGAATCCACTTAATGATTATATCGTCAATTTGTTTAGCTGACTGACGCATTTTTTTGACAAACGTCATATTCACATGATGTATTCATTTCTTTCTGTCTTATCGTTGACGACACGTGGCGTCAGACGTGCCTTCAGCTCCCAAGATTTAGCATATTCTAATTATCATGCATCTCTGTTTACATATAATTAACATTCACCACGATTTCCATGAAAAATTCCGCCAAAAACACTTTTCCATTATTCATAATTTCTCGATTGCTCTTGAAAATGAAAAAAATTATAGAAATATTCAGTCGTTAAATCAAGAGTTTTTCAGAAACTCTTGAAAATACGGAAATGAAAAATCCCAAATCAATTTTATAAACACTTTTTATGAAAAATTTTCAATCGAAGGATTAAAGGAATTGGAATTGTACTTTCACCAGGACTACGTGATCTTCGGCAGGTGATCTGTCACCCCGAAATAGCAGACTCATGCTCTAGATTTTCAAGGGCTTTCTCGTCAGCCATTCGATCGTGTCCTCGACTTTTATTTTTTCCTGGAGAATAATTAGCCGAATTTAATTGATAATTTATTTAGTATCGAGGGTGATTGCTTGGTGGAAATAATGCTCCTCTTGGTCTAACGTTCAAGTTTCCCGCTGAAACCACTCGTCATGTGCAATACGAATTACTGAATTGAGAAATTCAAGGAATTCACGTCTTCGGGAATTTTGTAAAATCACAACACCCCGGCAGCTCCGGGAATTCGAATTTATCGAATTTATCGAGGACTCTTCACCTTCAAGATAATTACGAATAACAAGTAATTATCATAACATTTTTTAATCTATTATCGCCCCCTTGACCCAGAGACTCATTTATTAAATCTATTATTCAGCGAAAATTCATAGAAATGATTATTTTTTTTATCTCCTTCTATTCTATATTTCCAATCTCACAACTTATTTTATTCTTAAAAATAATATTTATTAAATCTCTCTCTTACTGGAATTTCCGTGAGAATTAATTTATTTAAAAAATTAAATGTCAACAGATGAATATTTTCTGTCAACAGGATTTCCACAAGTGTTGGAATTATTTCTAGATTCCTTGAATTATTTTATTATAATATAAAAACGAATTTAATTATCAATTTTTCTATTTCTTTTTATGAGACATGTGTTGTGGTTTTTATTTCCAGTTAAAAAAGGAGAGGAATATTTGGATTATTATTTATAGTTTCCCAGACTGCAGTGGATTGAAATTGAGTTTACATCGTACCAAGTACTTTTGAATTGAGATATGAGAAAAATTCTTGGAGATTATTCCAAACATGTGGGTGGGCGAGATAAAGAGGAAATGTCAACAAAAGGGGCTGAACCATTTGCTCTAACTAAACTACCAATGATAATCGCGGAACAGGGGGAGTGTGATGTAATCAGCATTTAGGAATAACTCATAATCTTTTTATTTTCAAAAATTTCCAGTCTACTCGGGAAAACCATCAGTTCATCCTCATTGACGAAAATCTGTTGAAAAATTACACGAGAAATTTCTGCAGAAATTTCATTTACACATCCGCTAATTATTTTACGTAATTTTTGTAATTCTCTATTTTCGGATTTCTGTGAAGTTGGGAAATTGTAAAAATGTCAAAATTTCAATTCATTGTGAATTCAATTTTTATTGAGTAATTTTGTGATCGTTTCTAATTGAAATTGAATCCAAATTGATGTAATTAGAGAATCAGATGATTTTCTGATTGAAATGAAAAATTTTTAAGTCTATGAGCAGCTGTTCTCTCGAAAGATTATTTTCTGATAACTCAACAATTCTCATGTCTACCGACCGTACATCTCATATTCCGTGTGCACAACTCAATTTAAACATGAGTGGACAATTTCATTCAATAAACACACGTGGAAATATTTTCAAAAAAATTATATGCCGCACTAGAATTTTTCTAAAAAATCCCACGCCGATAAATTTACAACTCTGAAAATAAAAAAAAAATTCTTACGGACATAATTTATATAAAATATGTTCTGTATATTTTATATACATTTTATATTCCAACATATATGTTAAGTGATTATATATAACTGATAGTATATAGATAATTTTTATATATTTTTAACGGAGGGATGGGCGGTTTCCTGGTACATATTTTGTTTATTCATATCCATAAATTTTATAAATAAAATAATATCCGTAGATTGGCGTGTATCAAATATATACGGGTTTCTTATTCAACAATCGCGCATGCGCCTCTCACTGTAGCATATATAACACATGTGCGCACATACACGTGTTGAGAACTGGAAAGATTATACATGTCCTCATGTAAGGAGATGCCATTATGAATATCGTTGTGTGAGTTGTGGAGAAAAGAGATGTATAAGAGACAGAACGGGCTGTCGACCCGGTAGTTTCCAACACGTGATGAATCGGGATTATAAAATTTCCGTAATTGCCGCCTCGAAAAATTAAAAAAAATCGGAAAGAACGGGTTGTCCTTCCTCCATTGACGTCTGAAAAAATTCTTTATTTATTAATTTCTCTTTTTTTGCTATTTGAAAATAAAAGTGTCTCGTTAGGAAAATTGATTACGATTATTGATAATATTTTGGTAATCATCTTGGAATTTGGGAATGCCGTACATTAAACGCAGGGTAAGAGAATATTGTAAAATCTTTTTTCAAAAAGACGTGGAGAGACCCATCAGTCAGAATGTTGTCGCATTACGTAAAAATCATGGGTAATAAAATGGTTTGACGTACGCAGGAGGAAAAATTATTGATAGTTGATCGAGTATGTTGGATTTCGGGGTTTTCCCCCGAGTACAAAATTCACTCTTCTAGAGTTTTTATATTTCCGGATTTAGGAAATGTTTATTTCTTTGTTGCTGTGGGACCTTTCCTTTACGTTATAAAAAAGGGGGAAAGTCCCGGAGGGACTTTCTCATTGCGGGTTTTTCCCAAAATACATCTGGCGACCAGAGAGGGTCAAGAAAGGGAAAAATCCAAGGGTTGAGGGTGGAAGGAGAAATTATATTACCCTTTTGCGAGGAGTGCAATGTGGGCCTTACTAATAATCTTTAGTCAGTCGTTTGTAAGTCTTCGTTCAGTAAAGTACCTCTTAACTGTCTAGAGTCTTATTATATTGAAATAATAATTATCAGTCTTAAAAATTCTTCAAGTGTTTATTTATTTCGATGTCCATAATCCAATAGAGTAGATCAAGATTGCTTGAGCAATGATCGAATTTTCTGTACCTACTTTTTAGTTCGACACGCATGAATTCTCACTTGAACTCACGATATTGAAATTTAAATTTTGTTATGCAGATTTTTTCTTCGTATCGTGATATTTAAATTTGAAAGCAGATGATAAGAGTTGAAAATTTTTTTCTCATTGATTTACCAATTGTATTTACCAATTACCAATTCTACATCCAGAATTAAAATGAAATTTCTGTGATTTCCGATACAATCGATTTTTAAATTGCGATAAATTCAATTGAAATGGGAAATTCGATAATTTTTTCCCAAAACTGAAGTGCATATGACTCGTTGGAAAATTTCAAGTCGAAGATCGATGAAATTTCAATTTTTCTCTAAGAATAATTATCCGGTATTGTCTAGTGGCTAGGATATCTAGTTTTCATAGTCCACAAAAAATTATTCTGTCCCAACTCTCCAAAACTATTCCTCCGGCACCCGAAAGAGTCGTATCATCTAAAAAAAATTGGAACGCAATAACTTTTTGTTCTGATGCGTTGTGTTGAGTCTGCGATAAATGGAGCGTGATAATTCACTGAATCGTTGACATGAGCAGATGTCAATGACGTTTTGACACTAATAACTCGACCTCCAATCATTCGGCTATTTCTCCCTCTGAAATTTCCACCGAGTGCTAATAATAAACGTCATCCGAATTTTCTCGTCTTCCACTTAAAAAATTCCTTTTGTAAAATATAAACAAAGAACATTATCTCTGCAATTATTTTACCAAAAGTTGTATAAAAATCTTTGAACATTATAAATCTCCAAAGGAGGCATGAACCACATGTCATCCTCAATTTTCCGATTACTCAGTCTTCATCTCTGGTATTCCAACTCTGTAAACAACAGACCATTGACAATCACCGGCCTTTAATCAATCTTTCAGCCCCGGCATCAGCATCAGCTTCTATTTCCATAGGCCAGATCGTAGATTAGTATCAATGAGACCAATTGCCCGAGTATTTTGATCATCTGACTAATTGAGCAATGGGGGCTCGTCCGTAGAAGCCACACGCGGTTCTCTTCCGATTTCTTGGGTCACGTATCTGATCCCATGACTGAATTCAATACCAAATTAATTGACACTCATCTCGGTATCTGTATTCTGATTTCAGGGACTCAATGGACGACTGCTGTTCGCTATCGCAGCTGCTGCCCTGGGATCATCCTTCCAGCACGGTTACAATACTGGTGTTGTCAATGCACCACAATCGGTAAGCACGTCACAAGATTTATTCTGGATGAATTAAAAAGAATTTCTAGTTGTCAATTTGGAATCGGTAGTCTCCCCACAAAAATCCCAATAACCTTCACAAAGAACTGAACGACTTCCTTGAATTCCAGTTAATCGAAGCCTGGATACAAGACGTTAAGGGCAACCGAACAGGTGAAATAATCAGTAAGAATCAGGTGACAGCAATATGGTCAGTGGCGGTGTCAATTTTCTGCGTGGGTGGTATGATCGGTGGTGCCCTGGTAGGAACAATAGCAGACAGATTTGGCAGAAAAGGTGGTCTCCTTCTGATCAATGTCCTAGTTGTGATGACAGTACTCCTGGAAGGTTTCTCAAAGATGGCATCAAGCTACGAGATGCTGATAATCGGTCGTTTCATCATCGGTATCAACTCAGGCCTGAACGCTGGTTTAGCACCGATGTACCTAGCTGAGATATCACCAATGCACCTTCGAGGTGCTGTTGGAACTGTCTACCAACTGGTCATTACGATTTCCATTCTGATTGCTCAGATTCTCGGTATGAATCAACTCCTGGGTACTGAACAGCACTGGCCACTCCTGCTTTCTCTCACAATTGTCCCAGCGATTTTCCAGTGTCTCACTCTTCCACTCTGTCCTGAGAGCCCGAAGTATCTTCTCCTCTGCAGGGGCAAGGACGCCGATGCCCAAAAGGCTCTGACCTGGCTTCGCTCTAGCAACGATGTCTACGAAGAAATGGAAGAAATGAGAAATGAGTACGAGTCCATGAAGATGCTGCCAACTGTTGGATTGAGGGATCTCTTCGTCAACTCCACTCTGAGGATTCCTCTTGTCATCGCTGTCATGGTTATGCTGGCTCAACAGCTGTCTGGCATCAATGCCGTCATGTTCTTCTCGACGAAGATCTTCACGATGGCAAGCTTAGACGATCATGCTGCTCAATCTGCTACCATGGGAGTGGGAGCTATGAATGTCATCATGACTCTCGTCTCGCTTGTTCTTGTTGAGAAGTGCGGGAGAAAAACACTTTTGCTGCTTGGATTCGGAGGAATGGTCATTGACACTGCCTTGCTAACTATCTGCATTACTTACGCAGTAAGTTTCTCATGCCTTTCAATTATTTATTTATATTTACTTCGAATTAATGTGTTATATGAAGACGTATGTTCATGTCGTTACATAAGACATTAACCTCCAATTGAGATAATACGGTTTAACGGTTCAGGCGGTTTTAATTCAATTATATTGTTTAATCCCTTCAGAGCGCATCAACAGCCGCAGCCTATTTGTCCATCATCTTCGTGATCCTCTTCGTGGTGTTTTTCGCAATCGGCCCTGGCAGCATTCCCTGGTTCCTCGTCTCAGAGTTGTTCAACCAATCAGCAAGACCCGCAGCAACATCAATCTCCATTGCCATCAACTGGTCCGCCAATTTCGTAGTTGGCATAGCCTTCTTGCCCCTGCAGGAAGTAATGGGATCCAAAGTCTTCATAATCTTCGTGATAATTCAAGCGGTATTCACTCTCTTCATCTGGAGGAAAGTGCCCGAGACGAAGAACAAGACGATCGAGGAAATCAGCAGTATGTTCAGACAGAGATCCTATCAGTGAGGTAAACCCGAAATAATCACACCAGTATAATAATAATGAACAAATACGAGAGCAAGCGAGTGGTCAAAACAAGTCCTTCCATTATTTTACAGTTCGATGCATTTTATTATTTAACAATTATCGATTTCTTTGATAAATGAATGATTCAATTGTGCCATTTATTAATCAACGAACTGGCTTTTTTATTCCCGTCGTTACTCGGAGGATTACGTCGAACTGATAAATAGGGACATCACCTGATTTACATGTAATTAATCGATTTAGTTCCTGTCACCCGTCGGGTGGTTAATTGTTTAATTAATTAAAAATGGAGAAAAGGTACAAGAAATGTCACTGAAGTCATGGATAGACTAAGAACTGAACAAGGCTCTTTACGATCAAGTCTTTCTTTGATAACGATTTTATTATTATTTTTTCATACAGTGTGTGGAATTGATGATTCCAACTCTAGTCAAGAATGAGCTCTTTTTAAATTTTCACCATTTCTTCTTGTTGTTACTGCAAATCCACCGGTTTTAATTTGTTTTTTTTTTTTTTATGAATTCTTTCTGACGTGCGCGACGGTGAGATGAAAGGATTATTGATTCATGGCTTCACAGATTGTAAAATGTGAAATTGTTGCATCAATGATTCAATAATCTGCGATGCGCTTATCCATTCTTGAGATAAAACAACGAAAGAGCACTTTTTTGGTGTTATTTTGATAACCCGGGCAAACTGAAAAGTCTCATGACAGACAGATTTTTACCTTCGCTATTATAAATGTACAGACATGAATTTATTACGCTGGAAAATAAAAAATCAAGATGCCTTTTTGATAGTTTCCACCTGAGATACAAATAAATTAACAAATGTTAATGATTGTTGATTGCAATAAAAAATTCGGCCGAAGCCGGATAGGTTTATTTTCAATAGATGACATTATTCTCTTGGCACCGATAATTATTTAATTCATATATCGCTTATTGTTAAGCAACATTGGCCAAGTACAAAGTGCTCGGTGATTATTTTTATTAAAGTCGAGGCCAATGTGTTTCGGTCCTGTTGGAATACACAGAGAAAAAAAAGACTTCCCAAAAAGAAGTTTCTAGATTAATCGATTTTGATAAAGAGATATTTTTTAATCTGTGCACAGACAGATGGAAATTGTCATCGTGCAAATTGCATTGGCTGTTGCTGGGAGCAAATTAATCGATATAATTGTCTTCGATGAAAATATAGATTATGTCTTTCTTTTTTTTAATTATTGAACGCAATACTCATACGTTAGTCGATTACAAATGAAATAGAGGAGTGGCTCTCACATCGTTCCTAGGTAAATTGAAATTATACTGGGCATTGTTTGAGGCTGAGTGTCTGGTTTACTGAAGTGTTAATTATTTAAATGATGTACACGTTGTGTGGAGACTGAAACAATTGTTGCACAAAATACAATTGCCCAGGATAGATTAATATATAGACGAGTGCATGCTGATGTTTTTATTTCATACAACATTCAGATTCTTACACAACCCGTAGTGTAGATTTAAACAATGAAATTTTAGGTATTTTATCGTAAGTTTAATTAATAAATGGTATTGAATTAATTTAGAGATGGTAAAATGCAGTTTTAAGAGTAGATTTTAGTTGTGTTCTTTTATATATGGAAAGTACAGTGTCGATGTGAAACATTTAAGATGTTTAAACAAAAATATAAGTCATATCGCAGTTTAATGTAAACGAGAGAATTATTGTCGTTCTGGTTGTTATTGTGGCGCAGTGCGAGGGTTTATTTTCATGGATAATCCATCACTGTGTTGTATGACTGGGTACAGTGATTGCGATATACGTATTTTTGATGCTGATATATTTACTGTTGTCCGAAATAAAGAAATTATTGAAGTAATTGGTAATTTTTTCCATTTATTTACCGATTTATTTGTTGAATTATGATGTGATATGAAAACCATATATTTTACATTTTTAATTGAGTTTTTTTATTAAATACATTTTATTACGTTGAAATATCATTTTTGTTTAATAATTCTGAGGTGGACATTTCATATTTTAAATTTAATTGAATTTTTCAAAATTATTGTTATAGTAAAAATATATTAATTAGTGATTTGAGAATTCATTGAAGAAAAAACTGTTATTCTGAGAAGAAAAATTCAAAGAGAAAAATAAAATGAGGAGATAAATATTTTTCAGGAAATATTGACCTATTTTTTTCGGGGATATTAAAAGGGTTCTAAAAACGGTTCGGGGTATAATTGTCAGGATAGGGAGAGAACTGACAGCTCTATTTTTAAAATTTTTCCGTCTCTTGCATTATAACTCAAAAATACCAATAAGAATCCATCTTTTAATAGACGTGCCATAAAATGGCGCCGACACGTTTTTCAAGACCCTCGAAAATCTGTATTATCTCCAACTGAACATGTTATCTGTTCTAGATTATTTATCTCGCGTAGATAAGTCCATTATTTCTGACGGACTCCTGGAGATGGTGCTCACAACTCCCGGCGTCACTTTCAATTTTCTCAAAGTTCACAGATTTTTAATGTTAAATAAATTATGAATATAATATGCAAATTTATAATTCCATGCATTTGTCAATCATTTTCTCTGGGGCTTTCGGCGATAGCATCTCTTTCTCTTTTTTTTTCTTGAACCCCTCTGAAGTTATCTCTATATTTCACTCATTCCTTTAAATGTTCAATCATATTTTCTTGTGAGAAAACGATAGAGAATAAAATAATAAATAAACCGCGCTTTTGTTAATGTTCCCGGATTTTTGGTAATTTAATATTGATGCCTTCGAAATTTTCGCACCTACCTTCAGGCGGGTTCGATCATCTAGATATTTTACCGACAAGATTCAATACATTAAGGACCAATTATCTAATGAATTAACGACGAGTTAAATTGTTTTAATTTCAATTAATCGAAAGTTTCGAGTCGAATTTAACTTCAAATTAACCAAGGGATTGATTTTTACGCAGATTCGGGTGAAGATGAATATTTGTCTCCGATAATTGTAGGTAACTACAGGTGAACACTGGAGGCACGTGGGAGTTCTCTCTTGGGATCATAAAAATTACAGGTGCATGTTCATAATACACAATGCACTATGGTCTTTTCGCGAACCGCCGTTTCGGATTTCCGTTGCACGAACCGTGACTTCCCGTCTCAAAACTCTCGAGATTAAACTCGAGTCTCACCAGTCTCCGCATGTCTCGAATAAATCATAACGAGAATACCCGTGAAAACAGAAATATGCGTGTAGTAAATCGTTGATTGTCGGTTCCAGCGTGAAATCTATTTTATTTTATAATTTTATTTATCTCGCTGATAAAAAAAAATCTGTCAAGTTAATTGATTTCGAGAATTAATATTTTCATCTGCACATAAAAAAAATTTTATTTCTGTAAATAATCTTTTTTTGTATCTAAAAATTATCCTGAGGCTTCGGAATTATGGAAAAATTATCAATTTATTCAAAATGAAATTTATACAAACAATTTGCAATTTGCAATTATTGTTATAATAAAAATAACATTTTTTTTGGATTAAATTTCATAAAAATATTGTAATTTAAACCAAAAAATATTTGTAATAAAAAAAATGACAAAAAAAATGAAAATTTTATAAAATCCAGATGAATTAGAAAAATTAGATTTTGAATGAATTTGAAAAAAATGTATTTCGTCTTCATAAAAAAACAGCTGTAACATCGAAGGAAGACTGACAAATGCCCGTTGGCTAATCGGCCGTGGATGCATCCATGGAATTCGTTAAAATTCGATATATCGAATGAATCATATGTCCAGTGTTGGTATAAGACATGAGTTAAAGCCATATGGTACACGCGTGCCTCCAGCATGGAACTAATGGGCCACCGTTACACGAGCCCAAGGAAATTGGACCTCCAAGTGCCAAAAGATTCTTCATCAAAACACCACTTCCCCCTTTCGTATCCTCTTTGCTCATTGTCTTATGACCGGTATAAATTTCTTCAATTTTCACCAGGGCTCCCCAGCGAGGAGTCGATCGAGCGAGAAGTCCCTTCAAGATTATTACTGGAGTAATGAATGTTACGGACAACCAAGCGTGGTAATGATTTCTTTATCAGCTGCTCGATTGAGTCGTTGCATTCACTTGATGATTACATTTTTTTTTATGGGCCAACTGTTTTTTATGTCTCACTAGAAAATTACTTTACGAATTCCAAGAAGAAGGAACTCAATACATTATTATCATAATTTATTATTTTCTAGAAGCAGAAAATAATAATTGAATTAATAATAATTAATTGCTTTGCAAATGAAATGTGGATAAATCGTCTTTCAATTTATCTGAAAAATATTTAATAACAATTGACAAGCCCTTGCCTCGACGAAATTTAAAAATAAAATGGTAATTGTTATAAACAATTGAATTTTAAATCAAATTCCAATTCAAAAAATTAAAAATTCGGATGCAACTGCAATTGAGAATTGGAAAAGAAATTTTTTTTAAAATCGCTCTTTCATCAAATTTCCAGAATAAATTATTTTCCTCTTAGAATTATTAAAAAATGTGATAATATTATTAACAAAAGTTCTCACATACCCATGGATAACGAGAAAAAAAAAAATTAGCGTCGTACCTCATAGGCATGCATATGCATGACAAGACGTTTACGGGTCAGTTGTACCCCACATGAACATTCCACTAACAATAATAAAAAAAAAAACATTCTACTGGTGCAGCTAATATTTTCCGGTGCTTACAGCACCCTAACGTGTGTATACACGTGTAAGTCATAGAGACGATCAAGAGCGGCGTTTCAGTGGTGATCGGTCAGTCGTGTCCAAGTGTTCGGAGAAGTCGATGTAAAAACTTCACCTGCAACTGAGATGCATTTCCTTTGGTGTTTGTAACGAACCAACTTTCCCGCGGTTGCAACCGCTCGAAATTTATGCCCCGTAAAAGACATACTCACGTTCATGCTCTTCGCACCGTACACCGAGAAAAAAAAATATATTTCTGCCCAGGATCCACTTATTCGAGAGAAATATGCATTTTTTTTATAAAGGTTATTCCACCAATAGAGTAATTTCCAGGTGATTACTGTGGTTGATTACTTTTCGAACTCGTGTCCTTCAGAACACTGATAACGCGTTAACCACTCGGTCAAAGTCGCCCTATCTTTGAATACCGAATTTTCTTAAGAGAAAACGCTGACGGAATTTTTTAATACTGATAATTATTGACCGAGTTTCTTGAAGGTCATCGCCAACGTAACCATCCTCTAGAGGAATATAATTATCGTAATTAACACCTACTCGAGATCACCTAGAGCTGACGCATCTGGAGAAATTTTTTAAATTGCAATCGTTGAGGTTGCGTTGAGATTGCAATAAAAAATATATTTTTTCATTAATTTCTCATCTCAACGCGAATATGAAAATTAAATTCACGAATTCACAGAAAAATGAAATTACGACTGAAGATTCCGCTCTGAAAAATCCCCAAAAATGTCATTTCATCAGATCTCCGTACGAGAAGAATTATCGCATGATTACTCAACTCCAATTGTTACAACGAAATAATTATTATCTCCGAACATGTGCAGCCATGTGCAGCAGATATTTTAACGTTCCCCCGCATGTGCTGAAGTCGAAAACATAAAAATCATAAATTCCTGGGAAACAATTAGAGCAGAAGAAAAAAAAAAATGATAATTAAAAATTTGCATCTCAATTGTTCATATTTATTTTTTTTTTTCGAGGACCCCAGTGGTGCTTCCGGGGTAGTTCGGGGGGGTAGAGAAAGGAAGAGGAAGGATGCTCGACTACACACAGACCAGAATGATACGAATTAACATATTTATGACTCAGGTGAAATTCATGGTGCAACCCCTGCTGAAAAACATCACTCACCCCATTTAAATTTCCATCACGGTGAGGTTTTTCGTGTTTAATGTGTACAAGTGGAAGTTCAGTAAAGCGTGCAACCCCCGAATATGTGGACTAAAAAAGCCACATCCGTGAATTTATTTGCGTATCGTTGATGATCACCTGCAATCAGCACAAATTATGGATATATTTTTGGGGGGTCAGTCGATACAAAATTCGCAGGGGGTTTTTCAATTCGCGTAATTGATAATTCACCGTTATTTCATCCTCAATATTTCCTCGTTTCTCTTGAAAATTTATCCATTTCTCATTTTTTCTTTGAAATTTCACCACTTTATCTATATATTTAATATTTTATTATTATTTCCAATTGTTTAAAAATATTGCAAACATTTTTTCGGTCTTTGACATCCAGATCAGCTGATGGCGTTTAATAATAATTAATAAATTACTTTTATCTTGATAAATTGATGTTGAAAATATATTTTAATGGAAATGGATTTAATTGAAAATTCAAGCGCTTGTGGAATTTGAAATGAAAATTGAAGATGAAATTTCAGAATAAATTCTTTAAGTATTCACAGGTGGGAATGAGGTGTAATAAATAGTGTAATAAACAGTGGCTCATTGATTACAGTACATTCATCCTCATTACACGCTCTTTGCTCTCATTCGCAAGAACTCAAGCATTTCAATCCCATCCATCTCACCCTCGCACTCTCAAAAAATTTTACATCAGGATCGAGTAGATTATTTTTACTCTCCTTTTTTTTTTTCTTCAAGCAGTTGCCAACAAACACGCGTATCGCTATTTCATAGGCATAAGGGAGTGGACATAAATAATTCATACCCTCGGTTACTGGATATTTTGAATATTTCGTGGGTAATGGGGGTGTTATGTTCTAGTTCAGGGGTTTTTCAAGATTTCTGTGGGGAAATCGTCATGAGGACACATGTGTCACGCACCGGGGCTCACAAAATTTATAATCAAATCACTTCCGGTTGAGAGCTGACACGGGAAATGCGAGTGTATTTGAAATTTAGAATAATAATTGGGAATTTTTTGGGGGTGGACCCTCGGATTTTTAGGCACATGTGGCTTTATTAATTCTAGAATAAACAAATGAATTTGAACTTCTGGTTGGGGTTGATCGGAAAACTAATGCTTCCGGTGCACGTGACTCAATTTTATAAAAAAAAATTTGATTTTCCGGAAATTTGGGAGTAATTGCGGAAAATTATCATTCCACTTCCATTAAAAAATTTATTCACACGCAATAGAAGAATTTCATAATAAAAAATTCGAAATTTTATATAAAAATTCGTAGAAGCTCTCTATTTATATTCAATAATCTTCAGGGAAGAAATTATTAAAAAAAAATAATAATATAAAAATAATCTTCAGGAAAGAAATTATAAAAAAAATAATAATAATAATATCAAAATAGAATGATTAAAATAAAATTGTTCCTCCCCTTGCAATTGCACAGGCGAATTATTTCGACAAAAATTCGTGAACAACAAAATGATATATTTTTTATTTTTCGACACACGAGAACCCGCCATACGCAACCCGTGACACCAGTTCGAATGGTGATCAAATTTCCAAGTGTCATCTGCTCATCGGATGTTCATCTCGAACCGATCGAGGGATCATCGATATCGTATTACCCATTTACAATTTATTCCTCAATATGCCAGCATCACGTCATTGATTCACAAGAATAATATTGTTCATCAAGCCACATGTCAGATTAATTACAAAATTTTTCATCAGCCTACCGATAAATCAATTCCAGCCTCCTGGAGTAATACCGATCTATACCACCAAAATAACCCCTAAAAATGGAATATTAAAATTCAATTATTGAAACAATTGTTAATTAATTATTGAAAATTATTGAAAAATGAAATATTTATGTGGAACCGAAAGAAAGGAATTGTATATTTTCATGGGTATATTTTCATGGGGAGTAATTGTAAATTGTTAATTGTTAATGGTAAGTATTTATTATTATATTATATAGGGAAGAGAGTCATGTATATCTGTGGATATAATATGGATTAAATATGGATATTCATCGATGTTAATGATGGCTCAACGTAAATAATAACACAGACGCATTTATCAAAACGTGGCGACAGCTTGAAGGTGAAATAACAGTTTCGGAAGACTTGGGAGGAATAAAAATGAGTTGGTTACTGTTTCATAAATTTAGACGACTTCCTTCTGCGGAACAACAACAAGAAGATCCATCAATTCTTCGGCGGCCATCAAAAAATTCTAGATTATCGTACATCAGCCATTCTCACCCTGAATTTAGTCCCCATACTATTAAATACATCAAACACAATAAATTTATATCGCAAAATGAAATTTGTATTATCATCATTATTATTCCCAGTTGTAAAATAAAAATTGGAAAATTGATGGTCAATGTTGATTTTTTTTTTAGTGGAGAAACCGTTAATTTTTTGGGCCCTTTTTTTTTGAGGGAATAAAAAAGTCCCCCGTTGTAATGAAACCTTCATTGTCCTCTCGGAATCTCGATGACTTTAGATAAGACTAATGAAATACTCGTGTCGTAACAATTACACCGCAAGAACCTAGTAATGGTACGTATTATTTAACCCGTTGCATTAGGAGAGGTCGATTGTGGGTAACCACTGGGCTGTGAATGAAAAAAGGGGTTCGAAAAATAAAAAAAAAAATTAAATAATACCTCAGCAGATATTCGATGAAGCAGTAATGACTCCCCAAATCGATCACTGGAAAATAAATCTGTTCGTTAGATCTCCACTAGATTTTTATCATTTCTTTTGTCCATGAATGACCGGTGGTATTTTTTTCACTATGAGCACCCAAAAACACATCCCTTCCAGTTACTTTTAATGATCAACCAAGTTGGCAAGGAACATCTGCTGTGGTGAGGGACACGAGTCTCTGGAGTTTTGCACAAAAGTCGTGTCACAGGAGTGAATCATTTCCCTGGGTTGTGATAATTCGTCACAGGTTGCAGTCGGAAAATTTAACGAGAACCCCCGCAATGTCATCCATTTTGTACCCTCGGACACAGAAAAATGGCTTCTTCCATTCAGTAAAAATCCCTTAATTCCACGAATTACTGCTATGAATTCTTCAGAAATAATTGTACCAATTTTTTCCAAATTTTTCCAATTTTTCAATTTTTTCAAAGTAAAAAAAACCCCGAATTTTTTATGTTAAATAATCCTTAACAATCCATTTTTATAATTAACTATTTTTTTTAATTAATTTTATTTGATATATTCGGTTGCGACGTGCGAATAAAAATATGTGCACAACTTTTTATTTAAAATTAATTCAATGTGCACGATTTTCACGAAAAACGTTTTTTTTTTCGTACATATTCATTTGATTATTACATCTGTCCACAAACATAATTACGTATAATTCTTATGTGCATGATTCATACCCTGTCGATGATATAAGTGCATAAATCGTGGCCCAAAGGCCGATAATTTAGAATTATTTCACGTCCTTCAAAAAATTGAGTTGCCATTTTTTTGGTGCCATGTGGTTCTCGGCCTAGCCCAAAATTACGTAATTTTCCAAGTACTCAGAAAACAATGAAGAAAGATAATCATTGAATATTTCTCTGAATCGCAAAGGTGCACTCCTTGACCTTGTGGAATTAACCAATCCACAAGCTTTTGTCAAGCTACAAATATCATAATTCAGTAAAGACATGCACACTTGTATAATCCCCCGAGGAAGATTGCTTTGTTTGGTGATTTTAGTGCTGTCTCCCTGAAACCCAACAACTACAATTTCAGATAAGATTTATTCACGTCGTCGTAATTGTGACAGAGTGAATGCGATCTGGGGACTTCCCAGTGAATGGCCCACGTGTCCGATAACTTCTTGGGGAAAGGATTCCTGGAACAATGTGCAGACCTAGGGAATCCCCAGCTGCTGATGACAATAGAAATTGTCACAGGACCATTGGGATTTTTCGGTAAGTTAATGATTGTTAATTAGTAAATGGTATACAATTAAATTAAACCAACACAAATGATCACTGGCACGAAAATTTATTATTATTTATTATGACCAGTCAATAATGGCAGAATGAAAATAAAAAGAACTTACACCTAGGTTTTTGATATTAAAAATTGGGTAAAAAAATCGGGTAAAAAATCGTCATGGGAATATTTTTTCCAAATTTTCAAAAGATTTCTGGAAGACTTTTCAGATTTTTGAGAAGTTTTTGAAGAATATTGAAAAATTAAAAAAATAATGAAACAACCGTATAATTAAAAAAAAAATTATATTCGCAAAAATTTTTAGAAAATTATAAAAAGAAATTTCTGAAACAAATTTTTGAAAGATTTTTCAAAACATTTCCCAAAAATACAATTGTCTTGTTTCCCATATTTTTTTATTTAAAAAAAAAATTCTGAAAAGTTTTCTAGAAATCTTTTGAAAATTTGGAAAAAATATTCCGATTACAATTTTTTTTTTACCCGGGCCAATTAATAAAGATCATCACGAGTCTGAATAAATTAAAAATCCTAATATAAATATTGAGAAAAATAATATAACTTCCCATCCCTGGGAAACCCATAACTTTATAATTAATTCGAAAGTTGCGATATTTACCCGAAAAAATTAAAGTTATAAAAAATATTTTCAAAAGCGAAGAAACTTGAAAAATTCGCGCCGATAAATTTTCAGCCTCAGATCTTCCCGTGGAGATATAAAAATAATTTCCACTCCAGTGTTACCACCAGCCTAACAAACATCGGATTGAAATATTATTCGATAAATTTACGATTGAGACAATATAATAAATTACAAAATAAAAAATGGCTGATTCCTCGATGGCTTTTGTATGACCCCATCAGTTGACGATAAAAAAATTCAAAAAAATGATAGAATATCTCTGGATAATTGCATGTCTATAACGGTACATCGATTTGAATGCACCGAAGGTATTGCACATAACGGTAATCCTCCTACAATATGTTTAATCAAAAAACAAAGCGCAAAAGACTCATGCCTTTTGTTTACGAAAAAAAAAAATCATATACCCAGGAGTAGCAGTTATCCATTGATCCGTGAAGATAATAGGGACCAGCTGGTCCCAATGAATTCGAAGGGATGATTAAAAAGCTGGACATTCACCGATAAAATGCACGTCACGGTAAAGCTGTCCCATGGGTGCAACCACTTCCGATTTATGAACCCCAGCAAAAGTGCGCAAGGAAAACAGTTATGCGGTTAAATTAAAGGCCTCTGTACTCCCTAATTAATGCCCAGACAGATAATTATTCTCGCGTAATTAACAGCACGTGAATTTTCAACAAAAAAAAGAAAATTCGAATCTCTAAAAATTTAATTATATATTCAATTGGTTCATGTTAAGAAAATTATTAACTATAATATTAATTATAATTGAATTTGCAGTGATATTATATTTCTTATGTAATATATAATATTACGTAATAAAATTAATTTATATTGCACGAGTGTTTTGTTAAATTAAACAATTGATTATGCCTCATTGGTACATGAAGCGCTTTTTTTTTTAGAGAGAATTATAAAAATGGAATACTATGGAATTGTTAATTAAACAATTTCTGGGAATTTTTGGGGCTGTGATGGAATCATAATTACGATAACCACAATTGTGGAACCCGCGGGGCATCCGCGAATCGGAAAACGATGAACGTTATCAGAAATTTTAGCGGGCAATTTATGCCCGTGGGGAGGGGAGAGGGAGTATATGATATTCGATATGATAGAGGGTCTTCAATAACGGCTGATTTCGTTCCGTAATTTTCAGTTTTTCAGCAACAGCCAAATCGTGCGGGTCCTCCATTCACCTGTGTCAATAGTTCATTGTTCAATATTGAGTTCGCATGAAATCTTTATCGCAAAAGTAACACAACTCATCAATTTTCGGTGCAGAAAGAACTTTCGTTGTTACGGTAGATTGTGAGATGACGTGTTAACGGAGATTCAGTTATTCGCGATTAAATATGTGGCAGAAGCGAGTAGTTTTTATTTTTTCTCTGATTATTGTAACCCAAGGTATGTCCAAAAGCGATAATAATTCCGGATAAAAAGTCATTTGATTTCCTGGATTTTTTATTAATGACAATTAATTTTGAGGATAATGAGGATTTATCCGGTGAAGGAATCGTCCGCCGCGATAATATGGAAAAGCTCCTTTTTCCAAGAATTGAATTGTTTTTTTCAATTTTCGGGGGCTACCGGAGAGGGAATTTTCCTCGTTAATGGCCTTGGCGCCGACCCTCGGTACCACAGTAATTAGGCTTGAAGGCGCCTGGTGTGGTCCCGTGTAAAAAAAAATTGGCGCTTCCGTTTCTCACTTTCTTATTCCGACGCAGAAATTCCAGGGATAATGGATTCCGTCTGAGACAGGGAATTATTACCATCCGAAACGCAGGCTGAATTGATTTTTGCCATTGATCAACATCGGCCCTTGTCCATTCGGTGTCTCAACGATAATCAATATTTCAGTTTAATATTTTTTTTCCCCGAACTTGTTGCAGTGAATCAAGTACTGTGTGACGGGATAACACCTGCAACAGCTACGACTAAATCATCAAATCAGACGGAATCATCAGGAGTTCCAGTCGATCTTAGAAAGAATGAACCTGAGTCGTCGAATCATACGACTCCTGCAGGAGTGACGTCTCCGTCGGAATCGAATGGAACATCGACGGCTTCTTCAAATTCCACATCGACAACTTCAACAGCAAGTTCAACCTTGTTTTTGAATGGAAGTACGACTGTCGGTGTTACACATCCGGCGCAAGAATTGAAAACAAGTGATACATCTACAGTATCTCCAACAGCTTCAACCACTGCGAGATCTTTGAACAATGTAACAACCAGTCCGACGACACCTAATCCCAATCCAAAGCAGACGGACCACCCAACCATTAATAATTCAAATGGTACATCAATTACTAATTCTACTTCACCTTTAAAGGACGACGCATCATTATTACATGATGCATCTTCAACTACCCACATGCCAGGAAACGGAACAACATCTTTAAATCACGAAACTTCCACTCAAATTCCGAAGATCAAAACGAATTCGAACAGAACGAACATTCAAATCCAGGAAAATCGGTCAAATGCGAATGGAACATCAACAGCGAATTCCATAGCCTCGACAGGAAAGGGACCATCAAACGTATCATTTGATAGATCTTCTACCCCAATGTTACCAAGTTCTGGTGAAAGTGCGTCATTCAATCAGTCGGCGGTTACCCCGAGTCCTGATCTAGCCCATCCTGCGAAGAATTCAACTGGAAAATCTGGGCATTTGACGCCGGTTTTACATAATTCAAGTATTAAATCTGAAAAGAATAGCAGTACATCTGCGATTCCATCGAATGCAACAGCAAGAAATGCGACTACCAGCATTCATGTAACAAGTAATTCATCAACGACAGTACAACCTAATAATGGATCCAGTATTGCTCCTTCGAAGAAGACAGACAACTCGACTTTATTAAATGCTAATTCTACAACGCCTCTACGACATGACCCGAAGAACAAAACAAATCCGAACGAGACAGCTATTCAAATCTCGAAAAATGGGACGAGTTTGAACGTAACGGCAGCAGTGGCTACTGCTGTATCCTCGACAATGAATGAATCATCGACTTCATCATCTAATGGAACTTCTACTACAACAGCAATAACTTCTAGCTTCAACTCATCGACATCGGGAGCAGGACCCACGTCATCTACTGAAAGGCCTGATCTAACGCATCCTCAGAAGAATTCCACTAGAACTCCTAAGAACTTGACGAATCTTTCTCATAACTCAACTGCCGAATCTCAAAAGAACAGCAGTGCACCTTCCATTCCACCACATGCGACATCAACCGCTAGTCGGAGTGTCATAGCTTCTCATGGCAATGCTACATCGGAGAGTTTGACCACAACCCCAGGTGAGTCCATAAAAATAGTCAAGTCATCATCCAATCAGACAGTAAGAACGGAGGAGTACTCACAATCCGGAAAATCTGTGATTTCTCAAGTTGAAATTACAGAAATAAAGAAATCTTTTTTTTCGTCTCGGGCAGATCCTCCGCCGTCGTTGGTGATGGCACGTGACACGATGAAGGGGCATACGATAAAGAAAGATGTCACTGATGGTTCTTCTGGGAAAGTGAATAGTACGAGTGATGGGCGTAACGGCACAGCATCAACCAATTCGACGATTAATCACAACTCGACGGCAACCGATGCGAAGACGACAGTGTCTGTGAATTCGACGGGGATTACTCACTCTAATTCTACATCGCATGCAAATTCTACAGCATCAACTTCGCTTAATAATTCTACGCTGCCAGCAAATTCTACAGCAACAACTCCTATTTATAATTCTACACTGCATGCAAATTCTACAGCAACAACTCTTATTCATGACTCTACAGCTACAACTGCAGCTCCGAATTCTACATCCGTAACTTCTGTCCACAATTCTACACTGCCTAGTAATTCTTCAGCAACAACTTCAATATCGAACTCTACATTACCTATGAACTTTACAACCGCAACTCCGGTCCATAATTCAACACTGCAGAATAATTCTACAGCAGCCACCCCTGCTCAGAATTCTACACTGCCTGCAAATTCTACAGCAACAACTTCCGCTCATAATTCAACAATACATACCAACTCTACAGCTACAACTCCCGGATATAATTCAACATTAGGCAGTCCTCCAACAACACAATCAACCAAACAACCGACAACAGCGCCACCAGCATTAAATGCGACTACCACAAAAACTATCTTCAATTTTATGATCAAGGATAATGACTCCGACATTCCGTGTTTACTGTCGAATATGTCGATCGACTTGAAAGTCTTCTACAAAAAGTCTGATAAAACGGTAAGTACTTTTTCTTCAAGTTGGCCGTCACACAGCTGCCGAGCTATGGTGCAGCTTCATTAATCATCACGGTCGAATAATCATGTCCACTTCAATTCATAATATATATATTTATTCAGGTTTCTGAGAGCATTCTGCATGTGCCAACGACTGCTGAATCGAACGGCACATGCACCGAAAACGATGCGCAACTGATGCTCGTTTGGAAAGAAAAAAATTCGAAAGCGAAACGGGCAGTAGCTTCTCGCAATACCACTCTTCATGATGATGAACATAATATCCTCGTATTCAATTTCATTAAGGATGGGACGACTGCCAAACTTGACAAGGTTCAGGCATCAATCTACCTCGATAAACACCATTTCCCGAATTCCACAGGTTCGAATCTATCTTTATCATAGCTATTAGCATAGAATGCTAAGAACCCATCGATTTTAATTTTTCCGTTAACAGAGAACATCTTGAAAGGAGAATCAGCATCTGGCTTAGAATTATTCAAAGGAAAAATCGATGCCAATACTTACGTGTGTAACATACCGACTGATGTAAAAGCCGGGGACATCGCCATCACGATCAAGAATATTTCTTTGATAGCATTCAAATCCAAGAACGAACCTGTCTCTAAAAAAGGTACAAATTAAAATCGATCTGGTATTCAGCGCTTACTCATGAAGGCCGTAGGGCAGATCTTAATTGATGATAAATTTGTCTGTTTTATATTGAGTTGAGGGCTGCCAAACAAGAGCTGGAATAAATATCGGGGTTGTCGTTGGAGGATTCATAGGAATGGCGTTAATAATTTGCTTCGTGATGTACCTCATCGCAAGACGAAAAAAAAACGCTTACCGCTCATCACAAATCCCGTGAATACCTCCAATAACAGTGTAATTCCAGTAACGGAGTTGTGATCTAATATTGGATATCTATCTTTAATATATCGAAATTTTCCAGTAGTTGACTTGTCCAGAAAATATTGGCTAGTGATTTTCTATGGCTTTGAAAATTTGACATTTTCATAAAGCGATTTTAATATTTAGATTACCATTATTTAAAACTAATGTAGAAGAATTGACAATAAATAATTATAACCGACCGACTGAATATCACGGAATTTAAATAATCCTTACACCATGGTAAACTCAATTAATATAGTTCTTTTTTTGAGGTTCTCATCAAGATCATCAGAATTTTTTAATTTCTTTGTGATTAACATTGATCTTGACAAGGTGCGTGCATTATTTGATCTAGTCACATATGGCGGTGGGAACCAAACACCAATGATTTGGTGTAACGAACAGTTCAGGATATCACCGGTTGAACTCGTCACGGATACGCCCACCCCAATTACCCCATTCAGGAGGTAAGTTTACATTTTTATCGCGTCATCTGTCCGATCACCGTGCGAACTTTATTGACCCTTTATAAATTCGGACCCCATCGGGCTGTTCTGACGCCTCGAATATTTTTCAGCCGCGGAACTTCTAGCCTTATATGTTCTACCCATCTTGAGGAAATTCAAATTCCCACAGTCAATGATTATTCATATGGGGTATTGTGGCTTCATGATCCGTCGACTGTTGAATCAAAAAAATCCTGAAATAGATAATGCGTGCCATATGCCCATGAGAGTTTCCCCCATCTTTACAAATATTTTATCAGTGAAACGGAAATGAAATAGTTTGATGAAGCCGGGAATGTTTTGGGGTTTTATTGCCACAATTGGGGGATTTATTGAGATGCTGGTTACAAGTAGATGCTTTATCAGTGGGGAACATGAGTTAACGATGGGGTAACTGCCACACCCCTCGTTTAGCACCTGGATAACGCGGTGTAGGCAGATGTTACTGATTCTTGTTAATTAATGATGAGGGGGTATTACACATCTAATCCCGGTATGCTGTATCGATTGGTGCTTCCTGTTCGAAAAAATTCCTGGCGGGTTTTTGATTGTGGGAATTGTGCGAACAGTGCAATGCTTTCGCATTGCAGCTTAGAGTTTCTCACAGCAATTAGCGCACCCCCGGCAATTTCAGGCTTCATCGAGTCGCGCGATTGAAACTTTTTATGTTTTAGGGAATAAGGTTGTTTAAAAAAAGCAACATGCTAGGGGAAAATAATATACTTCCTGGGCAGTTCATCATCAATCACTTTTCATTCAAGTTGCGCTGCGAATTTCATGATTCCTACCGGAGGAACTGAGAAAATGTGTATTGTTGATTATTTGTAACGAAAAAAAAAAATATATCGAATATTTTTTCTGGCAGTGACATTAATTGTTGATATGGATGTGTAAAAAAAAAAAAAAAATTCTCTCCGGCGGGGAATCGAACCCCGGTCGTCCGCGTGACAGGCGGAAATGCTCACCACTATACCACCGAAGATATATTTTAGAATGAACACAATCAAGTATAAGAAGTCAGTTCCATGCATTCCGAAACAAAAAATTTTATATTCGAAATTTCAACGTCAAAATAATACTTGTCCCCCGCCACGAATTTTTCGCTTGGCAGAGGATTGCGTACATTTCGTAAATTTTTTAAGATCAATTCTTGCTGGTGCGTCGGATTTAAATCTATAAATAGTCGTAGACTAACGGATCCAAAATGAATATTTTATAATGCCTCTAATCCAAGCTCTCCTTACTTATTTTTTCATTTTTATGATGGCAAAATTGTTTGTAAAAAAAAAAAAAAATTCTCTCCGGCGGGGAATCGAACCCCGGTCGTCCGCGTGACAGGCGGAAATGCTCACCACTATACCACCGAAGATATATTTTAAATAAAACAAGATTGGCTACAAGAAGTTAGTGACAGTGTACTGAATATCGTATGACATTTCGGAAAATTTCCCTCATACTTGTTTGGTCGCTTTTAAATTACTGTACGGCTATCAAAAGTGATTTCAAGGCAAATTCTTAAACGTGTGAAAATGTTCTTTGCTAGAAAGAAAAATAATTCAAATTTAATAACTCAGTTACCACGACGTTTGCCGTATGGCAACGGGACCCCAATTCCCAGGATTTACGGCGGGCATATCCACAAATTACGCAATATTAGGATTTCTCCAAAGACCGTTATTTAATATGAAATACCACCGGAAGTTTTGTAATAGAATACGCCCACATGTTTGGGTACTCCAGAGTAAAATGTGGAGCAATAAAAAGCCGGGAAATGTAATTTATTTGAGAACATATGAGACTCGTATTTTCCGTTAATTAATTCGACGAGTCATTAATGGAAATGCAGAACAGGTGGGTAATGCATTAGAATCTCTGGACTGGATTAGAATCTATGAACCGACGACATTTGTTGTACGTTCGAGCGAAATAACAAAGCAACTGTTAGCATGTCTGAGTGGCAAACGGATTTTTTCATTGATTATAAATTAAATTTCCCAGACGTGAAAATTCTAAAAAGTTTGATTAGTCAATTTCACACCCGCGATCGGATACTTCCGAGATAAAACCGTTTTCTCAAGAGAATTCTTGGCAGGTGCCGAAAAAATTGTAAATTCGTACGCTAAATACACATTATGGCAGGTGGGCTTCTGTACCACGCCATGAAGAGTATTACTTCGTTCTTTACTCCGGAACAAATAAGTGCTCTTTGGTGTATGCATATTTCAGAAGGTGATAATCACACAAGTATTCTTTTGAGAGAGAACGGATGCATTATATTCTGAAACAATCCCTCAGTTTCAAACTGCACGGTTCAAAATTTTTTATCTCAATTCTCAAAGATTAAAATGAAATATTCCTCCAATTTCACTATGCAAAAAAATGGCAATGCAAATAAATAAATAATAAATTCATAATTAGTCATTGAACTTCACGTAAGAATTTGGAAAAAACGCTGGTATTGCAATTTTTTAAATAGTTGAAAAATATCTGGAAAATTTCCAAAATGACTTTTAGAATAGTTTTGGAATTCGAATTGGTGAACTCGATATTGATTTCTTCTCGTAAATAAAGGCGGTCCCTCGTAAATAAAACATTCCTGGTAATTTTCCGGGATCTTCAGGTACTTCACGGCAGGAGGTGGAGGTGGAGGTGGAGCTCCTAGGGACCCCGGGAAGGATGACACTGACGAGGGCAAGACCAGACAGGTAAGTCGAATTTGCAAGAAAATTAACCCAACCCCTACGACCTGTTTTTCCCGCTGTCCATCCCCCATGACCAGGGGCTCTTTATGACATCGAATTACGCCCTGGGTCAGAACTACATGATTCCCCACCCTGGGGTATTTAAAGGATGGAGACTACCTGCTTTTGCATTTGAGTCTAGCCACAAGAGTTTGCCAAGTGTAATAAAACCTACAAGACGCCAGAATTTATTGAACATTCAGTTATAAAATTATTTGGAATATTCAATAACATTGTTCATTTTCAATTTCCTCAATTAAATTGAAAATTAACAAATAGTATCTATCAAGTATTAATATACATTTTGTATTTAATCATTTTTATAATTAATTTTCTATTATTAATAAAAATTTCAGATTCCCTCATTTTCAATTTTTTTTAATTTCTTGAAAAATCGAAAATTCAAATGATTCTTCAATTATTCATTCATCATAAATTTAGAATGAGTATAAAATACTGTTCTAGCATTCATTAATCACGATACGTGCGCCAAGCATGCGCCATATTCTAGTAAATGAAAAAAAAAAAGTGAAGAACAAAAATTGGCGGGAAAATCTCCGGACCTTTTCAGTCCCTCAATCAACGTCACCTCCTTGGGAATATTTTTCCCACCCCCATCAGACGAACTGCCCCACACGTCTACCTCAGTAAAATTTTCCATTCTCTACCTGGAGGTCCTTTTTTCTCTGGAAGGCACTCGTCAGCTGTTGATCCCCATGAGCCTGTCCGCAACCCCCGATCCCTTTAAATTTTAAAAGCCACATCTCGTATTTTTCCTGTGTCCCTCTCCCTCCGGGATTCAACTGACTCCTTCCAAGGGTGTAAACAAAACTTGTCTGGCCGATGGGTCCTAGAGGCCCATGGGAAAGGTGGACAAAATTTGTAAAGACGAGGGTGAGCAAGTGTGCGCTGGCTATTGTCAACCATCACAGCAGGTCTTAAACTGCGTGAAATTTTTTCAGTACACCCTCAACCTCATTAATTCTATATAGAATCCGAACTGAGGGCTGAGAGCAGCCGGAAGCTTCCCCGTGGAATAATCCGCAAAAAAAAAAAAAAACACTGAAACCCACGTGGGTTAATAAAACTGGCTTCATCAACAAAAAATAAAAGACCAGTAACAAAACGTAAAAAAAACGTGCAAATCAAAATGGAAGGTGGAGCCATGAAAACAAAATGGAAGGTGGAACCATGAAAACAAAATGGAAGCAGTCGATATAGAAACTGTCGATATGAAATTTTTTTTTTAATAAAATAAGTTTACTTAAAGTACAGCGAAGGGGAATTAAAATAATAGATAAAAAAAAGGCACATCTTGAGGACTAAAAAAAAATGGAAGACGGACTAAGAAGGAAGAGGTGATCCTACCTGAATTTATTTTAGAAGTGGAAAAATAATAAATACTCCACAATATTTTATTCATTGTTTAAATAAAAATAGGACAAATGAAAAATTTTTGTTCCCCACCCGCGTGTTCCTTGCAGGATTTTTTAACTTTAAAACCTTGACTCCCTCGTTTATTTGCAACAAACCTATCGGGAAATATCTGACAATTATCGACGCTCTTGCGGTACTCACATACGAATACTTTCCTCCGCGCAATTTTATGGTCATAAAAAAAGGGCACGCGTTCCGAAGTTTCGCCACGCGACAACCTAGTTCCAAGAATTCATTGACGACGATAGGGGGATATCCCTTGTTCCCTGTTTTCCAGCATCCGCAGATCTCCGTGTCCCGACTACTGTCGGCACCTCAAAGGAACCGCACACACGCGCTCAGAATTCTTCCATTTCTCAGCGCACAAAGAGCCCGGGAACACGTAGAGAAAAAAATAAAAAATGTTCCTCCAACTTTTTTTCAACTCCTCGCTGCTTACGGAGAGAGCCAGAGAGTCTCTCAGTGTGGGTTTTTTTGACAAGATCGTAAAATTGGTCGATCCTGTTCAAA